CGTTTGCTCTTAATCACACTCATTATTTGCTTCAATTATCCCGCATTATTTCAATTAAACAGACGCCGTAATAATTCTACATTACGCCCGGTGTATAGAACACCTATAATCTTCATCAAACATTACAAACTACTTTATTGCCCGTTGTTTTCAGCGTTCATTCTCCAATTTATAATTTCACTTCTGCAAATAAGTACAATCTAGCACCGAAGAAGGAGAATAATATAAACTGAAATCAACAGAACAATTCAAAACAGAATATTCCGAACGAATGAAACTTTTATTCGAATCCGTGTCCCGTTCGCCAAAAAATAGAAGAAACAACAACAATCGTTAACCACTTGCCTTATAATAATGTACTAATATAAACAGAATCTTCCAACAATAAATATTACTCAATTTCCGTGAATTCAAACGAAATGTTATTCTTTCCTCATCAATTATCATACCTCTCGTAAATTATTAATAACAAAACAGTTACACCGGTCACAGCTGAAAAATAAATCATAGCACAAGGGGTTAACAAAACTGATCCGCAATCTAAACTCAAATTCTCTGATACTTCAATCGCTGAACAATGGTAATTAGCGAGTCCGTACATCGTTGTTTCCGCCGATAATCGTTGTCTCTCTCCTTGGAGCGCAGGAAAATTGCGTTCGTTGCGGAACGAACGATAAAAGGGGCGTCGGATTTTCGAAAATCGTCAACGAAGGGGTCCGGAATGCTAGAGTGGTGGAAGGGTACGAAGGGGAGAGGGCAGAGGTGAGGGAAATTAATCTCGCGCGAACGAACCACCGCTTTTGTAAAATTAATTTTGTCGTCGGACGAGCGTCCGGGACCCTCTCGAAAAATCGTCAGACGGAACGGACACGGCGGAACGGAGCGGCGAGGGATACAAGCCCGGCGATAATATTGATTTCGTATTAACGGACGCCTATACGAACGTTCCGCCGCGTTTTCAACCCCCCTCGTGGCACGATACCCGCGTTGTGACGAGCCCCGCGTGTACACGTAGTACCTATGCGCACCGCTTCGACAAATATTACCCTCGCTCGTTTCCAGCTCGAAATCAATTTACTCGTTTGCGGTATTACTTTCGTGTTCGACGACGACGGAGAATGGAGGAAAGGGGAGCAACGCCGGATCGCGTTCCTGGCTCGAACGGTCGGAGATTGATCTTTGCACGATCATCGTCGATTGTTTCTTTTTTCCCGTTCGCGAGTTTCAGGTCCGACAGAATATTTCGGATTTTTTTTTTGCTGGATGCTGAGTGGTTTGATAAATGAATGGAGTATCGTTTTGATGGTGGGATGTGATCGATTTTGCAATGGGACTACTTCGCGGTGGAAGTTAAGTTGTACGAGAAACTTGGATCATTAACACTAAACGTACCACGACCGGTCGAAATAGCCAGTTTTAAAACTTCATTTACAATTCCTCGGTTTCTTTCGTTTATACATATCCATTCTTATACTGTCTGATTGATCAGTTTCTCAATCTTTTGTTTCCTTCCGTTTCTGTCTCTACTAAGAAAGTTGATCTAATTTCTTTAGTTCTATTTTGAGACCAGTTATTCGACTAGTTACGGTAGGAATAAGTACAGATAGATTATTGTATTGTATTATATATCTTTAATGTTAACGTTCATCGTTTCGTGGGAGTTTAGAGTATTCGAATTAGGTGACATCACGAAAGATGACATTGCATTCGTCACCGGCTAATCAAAGAGACGAAGAACCTTGTGGTTTTGTAACATCTGCGTTAATTATAACTGTCCGACCAACTATCGTTAATATAATTATTATAACTTAGCGTGCTAATTAAACTAGAATAATCGAACTAGAACGACCAAGTAAGAACTTCTGAATCATCGCGGCACTGTATAATTCACATCCGTACAACATGCTCGTAAAAATATCCATTAACGATGTCCGGAACGTGTAAAAAGCCGCGCGTAAATCAAACGCACCTGTTACACGCTTGACTCAACGTGTTCACGGAAAAATGTAACTCGACGGAGAGTCGGCTAACAGAATCATCGACCACCTCATTCCCATTAATTGAAACGGGAATCCCGATCAGTCGGACGGGGTCACGTTCAATGGCGCCCCGAACCGCGGCGGCGGCGGCGGCAACGATGGCGGGGGCAGAAAAAAAATCGCGCGCGGCCGCGTTTGTTTAATTAATCGACCCTCTTTTAAGCCGACTTGCCGGCGCGGACCGGCAAATAAATTGGCCGTGTCACGAGGATTAAGGATTTTGACGACGGGTCGCGGTCGCCGGCCCCCAGGACCGGTTATCTTTCGCCGTTAATTCATTAATTAAGAAGGGATGCTCTTATCTGTCGACGCTGGGAACGCCGATAACGGCACTCACGGAACCTGACCTCGCGCAACTCCTCGACGCTGAGAAAGGT